ACCGGAAGAACTAGTTAACCTTGCCAGATACTCTTCGTACTCTCGCGCGTTGACTGTTATGGTGTATGTACAACGATTTCTGCGTAACTGCAAAGTATCCGTGTCTGAAAGAACGTTTGGTAGTCCGTTAGTCGAAGAACTCGAAAAAGCAAAGAAAACTCTGATTCGCCAAGAGCAAATTAAAACATTCACTTCGGAATTTAGAGAGCTTAAACGTGGACGTCCTGTGCACAATCAAAGTAAATTAGTATCTTTGACACCCTTCTTAGACGAAGATGACATAATACGCGTTGGTGGTCGCATTGGAAAGGCTGCTATACCTTTTGTTACTCGGCATCCGATCGTATTGGATTCTAGTGGTGATCTAACCAAACTAATTGTCATGGATACCCACAACAAGCTTGGACACGCGGGAGTGGACAATGTTCGAAACGAGCTTCGACAGCAGTTTTGGATCCTTCGCTTTAAAGCCACGGTTAAGAAGAATCTTCATAGTTGTTGGTTGTGCAAACTACGCCGTACCGTGCCACGTCCACCGAGAATGGCTGATTTACCACGCGACCGGCTGTTGGTGAGTCCTCCCTTTACGAAAGTTGGCGTTGATTACTTTGGCCCGCTACAGGTGAAATATGGAAGAAAGCATTTAAAAAGGTTTGTGGCACGGAGAGGTAGTCCTCAAGTCATCTATTCGGATAATGGGACAAATTTCGTGGGAGCCGATTGGGAGCTCAAGGAGTGTATTGAAAATTGGAATCAAAGTCAAATCGCTAACGAACTTAGTCAAAAGGGAATAAAATGGGTGTTCAATCTCCCAGCATCACCACACATGGGAGGAGCATGGGAGAGACTAGTGCGTTCGTGTAAGACAACATTCAAAGCAGTGTTAAAGAAACAAGTGTTGACCGATGAAGTCCTGGCAACTACAATGGCAGAAGTGGAATCATTAGTAAACAGTCGCCCTCTGACCGAAGTTAGCTCTGATGTTGACGCAATGGAAGCGATTACGCCAAATCATTTCCTTTTAGGACGTCCTAGTATAAACTTATCGCCTGGTGTATTCGTTGATAAAGAGATATCGAGTCGTAAGCGTTGGAGACAAGCGCAAGTGGTCACAAATCACTTATGGGGACGTTGGTTAAGAGAATATTTGCCTGCTCTTGTTCAAAGGGCAAAGTGGACGCAAGACGTACCGAATCTTAAAGTTGGAGATCTGGTTATTGTGGTGGATTATTCTACTCCGCGCGGCACATGGCCTTTGGGAAGAATTATTGAAGTCTACCGAGGTTCTGACAAGATAGTACGCAGTGTTGATGTGAAAACGAAGTTTGGAGTCTTCAGGAGACCAGCAACAAAGATTGCAACACTCGAGGAGTGATCGTCCTCCTAATGACCAACGATCACGGGGGGAGGATGTTCAGACTGATTTGAATATTCATATTTCATTTATTATGCGAAATACGAACGCGTACGGGGTCCCGGGATCCCGGGGAAAAGCCCCGAAGATTCCCGGATGAAAGTGTGCTCGAGAGACAAAAATATAGTTTTAGTGTGTTTTGGTTTGGAATATATTCATGTTTCTTTATAAAGTTTTGGTACTTTTCTTGGTTTAATGTTAATTATTGTTGCCCCAGTCGTTAGTTGGGATGGCCCTAAGCTGGTGGTAACACCAAGTTTTGAAGAGTAAATTCGATATTTTAAAGTGTAAATTCTAAGTTTTGAAGAGAAAATTCTAAGTTTGAAGATTAAATTCCAAGATTTGAAGAGTAAATTCGATATTTTGAAGAGTAAATTCTAAGTTTTGATGAGTAAATTATTTGTTTCGAAGAGTAAATTCTAATATTTGAAGAGAAAATTCTAAGTTTGAAGAGTAAATTCCAAGTTTTGAGGAGTAAATTCGATATTTTGAAAAGTAAATTCTAAGTTTTGAAGAGAAAATTCTAAGTTTGAAGCGTAAATTCCAAGATTTGAAGAGTAAATTCGATATTTTGAAGAGTAAATTCTAAGTTTTGAAGAGTAAATTATATGTTTCGAAGAGTAAATTCTAATATTTGAAGAGAAAATTCTAAGTTTGAAGAGTAAATTCCAAGTTTTGAAGAATAAATTCGATATTTTGAATAAGAGTAAATTCTAAGTTTTGAAGAGAAAATTCTAAGTTTGAAGAGTAAATCCAAGATTTGAAGAGTAAATTCGATATTTTGAAGGGTAAATTCTAAGTTTTGAAGAGTAAATTATATGTTTCGAAGAGTAAGTTCTAATATTTGAAGAGAAAATTCTAAGTTTGAAGAGTAAATTCCAAGTTTTGAAGAGTAAATTCGATATTTGAAGAGTAAATTCTAAGTTTTGAAGAGAAAATTCTAAGTTTGAAGAGTAAATTCCAAGATTTGAAGAGTAAATTCGATATTTTGAAGAGTAAATTCTAAGTTTTGAAGAGTAAATTCTATGTTTCGAAGAGTAAATTCTAATATTTGAAGAGAAAATTCTAAGTTTGAAGAGTAAATCCAAGTTTTGAAGAGTAAATTCCAAGTTTTGAAGAGTAAATTCGATATTTTGAAGAGTAAATTCTAAGTTTTGAAGAGAAAATTCTAAGTTTGAAGAGTAAATTCCAAGATTTGAAGGGTAAATTCGATATTTGGAAGAGTAAATTCTAAGTTTTGATGAGTAAATTCTATGTTTCGAAGAGTAAATTCTAATATTTGAAAAGAAAATTCTAAGTTTCAAGAGTAAATTCCAAGTTTTGAAGAGTAAATTCAATATTTTGAAGAGTAAATTCTATGTTTTGAATAGAAAATTCTAAGTTTGAAGAGTAAATTCCAAGATTTGAAGAGTAAATTCGATATTTTGAAGAGTAAATTCTAAGTTTTGAAGAGTAAATTATATGTTTCGAAGAGTAAATTCTATCATTTGAAGAGAAAATTCTAAGTTTGAAGAGTAAATTCCAAGATTTGAAGAGTAAATTCGATGTTTTGAAGAGTAAATTCTAAGCTTTGAAGAGTAAATTCTATGTTTCGAAGAGTAAATTCGATGTTTTGAAGAGAAAATTCTAAGTTTGAAGAGTAAATTCCAAGATTTGAAGAGTAAATTCGATATTTTGAAGAGTAAATTCTAAGTTTTGAAGAGTAAATTCTATGTTTCGAAGAGCAAATTCTAATATTTGAAGAGAAAATTCTAAGTTTGAAGAGTAAATTCCAAGATTTGAAGAGTAAATTCGATATTTTGAAGAGTAAATTCCAAGATTTGAAGAGTAAATTCGATATTTTGAAGAGTAAATTCCAAGTTTTGAAGAGTAAATTCGATATTTTGAAGAGTAAATTCTACGTTTTGAAGAGAAAATTCTAAGTTTGAAGAGTAAATTCCAAGATTTGAAGAGTAAATTGGATATTTTGAAGAGTAAATTCCAAGTTTTGAAGAGTAAATTCGATATTTTGAAGAGTAAATTCTAAGTTTTGAAGAGTAAATTCTATGTTTCGAAGAGTAAATTCTAATATTTGAAGAGAAAATTCCAAGTTTGAAGAGTAAATTCCAAGTTTTGAAGAGTAAATTCGATAATTTGAAGAGTAAGTTCTAAGTTTTGAAGAGAAAATTCTAAGTTTGAAGAATAAATTCCAAGATTTGAAGAGGTAATGCTATATTTTGAAGAGTAAATTCTAAGTTTTGATGAGAAAATTATATGTTTCGAAGAGTAAATTCTAAGTTTTTAAGAGTAAATTCTATGTTTCGAAGAGTAAATTCTAATATTTGAAAAGAAAATTCTAAGTTTGAAGATTAAATTCCAAGTTTTGAAGAGTAAATTCGATATTTTGAAGAGTTAATTCTAAGTTTTGAAGAGTAAATTATATGTTTCGAAGAGTAAATTTTAATATTTGAAGAGAAAATTCTAAGTTTGAAGAGTAAATTCCAAGTTTTGAAGAGTAAATTCGATATTTTGAAGAGTAAATTCTAAGTTTTGAAGAGAAAATTCTTAGTTTGAAGAGAAAATTCCAAGATTTGAAGAGTAAATTCGATATTTTGAAGAGTAAATTCTAAGTTTTGAAGAGTAAATTCTATGTTTCGAAGAGTAAATTCTAATATTTGAAGAGAAAATTCTAAGTTTGAAGAGTAAATTCCAAGATTTGAAGAGTAAATGCGATATTTTGAAGGGTAAATTCTAAGTTTTCAAGAGAAAATTCGATATTTTGAAGAGTAAATTCTAAGTTTTGAAGAGTAAATTCAATATTTTGAAGAGTAAATTCTATGTTTTGAAGAGAAAATTCTAAGTTTGAAGAATAAATTCCAAGATTTGAAGAGTAAATTCGATATCTTGAAGAGTAAATTCTAAGTTTTGAAGAGAAAATTCTAAGTTTGAGGAGTAAATTCCAAGTTTTGAAGAGTAAATTCGATATTTTAAAGTGTAAATTCTAAGTTTTGAAGAGAAAATTCTAAGTTTGAAGATTAAATTCCAAGATTTGAAGAGTAAATTCGATATTTTGAAGAGTAAATTCTAAGTTTTGATGAGTAAATTCTATTTTTCGAAGAGTAAATTCTAATATTTGAAAAGAAAATTCTAAGTTTCAAGAGAAAAATTCCAAGTTTTGAAGAGTAAATTCGATATTTTGAAGAGTAAATTCTATGTTTTGAATAGAAAATTCTAAGTTTGAAGAGTAAATTCCAAGATTTGAAGAGTAAATTCGATATTTTGAAGAGTAAATTCTAAGTTTTGAAGAGTAAATTATATGTTTCGAAGAGTAAATTCCTAATATTTGAAGAGAAAATTCTAAGTTTGAAGAGTAAATTCCAAGTTTTGAAGAGTAAATTCGATATTTTGAAGAGTAAATTCTAAGTTTTGAAGAGAAAATTCTAAGTTTGAAGAGTAAATTCCAAGATTTGAAGGGTAAATTCGATATTTGGAAGAGTAAATTCTAAGTTTTGATGAGTAAATTCTATGTTTCGAAGAGTAAATTCTAATATTTGAAAAGAAAATTCTAAGTTTCAAGAGAAAAATTCCAAGTTTTGAAGAGTAAATTCGATATTTTGAAGAGTAAA